CATCATCGACAGAGGTTCGGTCATTTTTAAAACGTGAATGCCACACAAACGTTTGTGCACGACCCATTGCGGACTCCCCAAATGCTTGCTTTAGGATTTCATAGGTTTCCGTAGCCGTTTTGGCGAGTCTTTGGCAAAATTTGATGCACACGCCATTCCGAAATCGCAGGAGGGTCGGTGTAATGCACTACCAAAACGCCCGTAACTAAGAAACAAATGCTAATTCGATGATGCCGGCTGGCACACTGATTCACTATGAATGTAGGCCGCAACCCTTAGCGGCAGAAGCTCGTACTACATCCGGTTCGCCCTCTATTGACACAGTCTTGAAACTTTCCGATCGCACCTCGTACACCCTAGTCCTCCCTGCTTCAGGATTTTCACTCATAATTGCATAAGTATTTCTTACTTACATCATATGCCCTACAGGGTCCACCGATCTCTTTCTCGTCTTAATAACATCTGGTAAAGAATACAAATTGTGGAACTCTTACATTTGTCTCTAACCTCTTGTGACTTCATCACTCCTATGTCTAAATATTCCTCTCAACACCCTATTTTCAGACGCACCCTCAATTGTGTGGCATTTCCTCACACTGTTTTAACACGAAGCGAGCGCACGTGCGGTTGTTTTACCGCTGCGGTTTTTCGAAAGCAACATGCTTCATTTTCGATGTGGTGGCGCACAGCAGCTGGCACTGACAATGGAACTCGAAGAACCCAACCTGCGTGCGCGCACGAGCGGGAAACAGTCGCACGACGGTCATTGTTTGCTCGACGTTGGTGGCGATTGTACACGTCATGGATCTTGACAGCAAAGTTTTTGATAGTGAAAAGACTGATAACTGAAGACGAGAAAAGGCCGGCACTGTACATTGAGGCCATATCGGAGTAAAGTGACAAAAACTGTAAAGACAAACAGTGGATAGAAGTCTGTGAAGCTGTACTGCCGAACTGGAACCAACTTGACAAAATAGAAAGTATCTGAAGAATTTCTTTGGATACATACTCAGGTCTTCATATAACTTGTAAACTGGCCTTTCAACAATCTTTGACTTGCAATTGGATGTACCAGAAATTTCTTTTTACTCTTTGCCCTTGCACTTAGCAGCAAAGCGCACACAGCGACCGTCTCAACAAAATCAATGCCTCGACTTATCATCCTAGAGCACAGGCGAACTGACTCTACAAAATCCAGCTCCAACTGAGAAGAAAACGGAAACATTGATATTTATTTCACCGTTTGTGCGATTTTTTTTACCGCTGCGGCAAGAAACCCGCTTGCCCCTACTTCGCGCTTGCCTGCAGTTTATTGGTTAGGCTGCCCGTCGCACTAATGTGTCCGAGAAGTTGCCGATGCAGCAAGACGGCAGTTTCAAGTTTCTTCCACTAAAGAAGAAACAATGAATTGGGATTCTTGTAAATTTGCATATCACCACCGTTTTTACTTCTGTTACTGCTGCTACCACAACTACTACTACTACATAGGCGCTCGAGCCCACTTTGCGCCATTTTTCGATATTTGGACGGGGGCAAGGCCACTACTGACACAAGACAACACAACGCAGAAAAATGTGGACACCTCCATGATGGCAATGTTCGAAAGGCCAAGACTCAGGTCTGAGAACGCCCAATGAAATATGCATTTCCTACCTTGCCGAGTTCAGTCTGGTTCTGAGAGACAACGAAACGCTTTATAGAGGAGAAGAATACACCGAACTAGGTACATTAGTTACCACTGCTGTATGAAAAGTTAATTACGCCATTCAATTCTTTTATGGATAATACATAAAAACATACGTATGGGTAATGGAAAGCAGTGATATGACATAAGTTCAATTCCGTTTCACGACATCTGTAAGTCACTTCAGCCTTGTTTCTACTGCAAAGACTTCGTATAGCAAAGAATGATAATGTGAAGAGAACCACGAAGCGGGATCGGTGAAATTTCGAACGTGGTGGTCATCGACTGATAAGTATTTTGTGGGGGGGGGGGGGGGGGTTTTTTTTTTTTTTGTTT